GAAAAGAGTACTACTAAACTTTATCTTGACCAAAAGTTTAAACATTAGACTAAGTATACTTAAAGTTTAGTATACTTTTAGTACAAGCAAAGTATAGTATAATAGAAACTTTGTTAAGTATATCTCAGATAAGTATAAAAAGTAAACTGGAGGTATACTTTTTTATTTTAAGTTTAAAATTAGTATACTTAATGGATATTTGCATATACTACCTTTCGCTAAGGGACTCTTTACTAGTTAGGACTCTTGTCTCTTACTTTTTGCAGAAATGAGACTTTAAAACTAAGAGGTTCGCCCCTAATTAAGTTTTATTTTATAGGAGACATTTATTTCAATGAAAGCTAAACCTGAATGACTTTGCTGCAGGCAGGCGGTGCTTGTGGGTTATTTACTTAATCAAAAAATGAAAAGGATATTATTCAACTCATTTTTAAGTCTGAGAGGCGAGAATATTAAAATAATTAGCTCGGCTGCTTTTCTTTTTCTGCGTTTTTATTGTCCAGCTGGAAGAAAAATGTATTCCTTTGCAGCGTGCAATCAAAGCATCAAGCTGTTTCCAGTTACATAATAAAAGACGTTTTGCAGATGTTACTTGTGAAGATATTACAATGAAAGAAAAATCAGGCATTGTGTTTAAAATAAACGTTTGTCAAAACCCTTATTCTTTTCTTATGAAACCCACAAATATGAGCATTGTTGGTCCCTTGGTCCCGCCTGTGGTTTTGATCCATTTTGGCACCAGCATGTGTTTGAGACCTTGGAGATGCAGTGAAAGTGTTGACAGATTGGAGCAGTGCAGCCAGGCAAACAGAGCTGGATGTCCTTCAGATTTCAACGAATGATCAAAAGAAGTGACCGGCACCAGTGGGTGATGTTGTCACCAGTCCTTTTTTTTAAAGTGGTGGTTAAATTGATCCAAAACTGTTTGTTTACAAAATTACCGGAAATAAGCATTCAATTTTTATGTATGGTTTTGTTGTTTTAGGATGTATTATTGTATTATGCCTATATCTGCAATATTTATTAAGCAGTAAAAATTCTGTCTAATCAAAAACTAGTTGGTGGAATAAATGTATGCACAGTGCAATATTTTTGTTTCTTGTAAATTCCAAATATTCCAAAAATTCCGTATTCAGACCGAAACATTGTTATTTATATATTTATTTATTCATTTATTCATTTATTCATTTATTGCTAGCATCCTGTCGTGGGAAACTTTTAAATGATGAAAATTGAAGCCAGTAACACTTAATGCAGAAAATCATGAGAAATTTAGTCAGTTTTTTAGCTGCAGTCTGATTTCTGAGTGTTGGTGATGAAAACACCTGTAAGCCGTGCAGTTTTGCCAGCATCTTTGAAAATCATGTTTTGTTTTTCTAAACACAACCGCTTGCAGAACTGTATTCCAGGCCATGCACATTATTCTGTTGCTCTCGTCACCAGCTTCAGATTTGGATGTTATCAGTCCATTAACTGGACGTTATCAGCGGTTATCAGCCCCATAGAATGGCTTCAGACTGTCAGCTGGTTAATATGAGGCATAAAGCCACTAAGGTTAATTTTAAAGAATATGAACTGGGCTAGGTTAAAGTAGACCAGACTCAGGCAGATTGTTGCCTTTTAACATATTAAAAGGTAAACAGTCTGAAGCCATTCTATGGGATTGATAACCACTGATAATGTCCATTTACAGGTGCTGGTCATAAAATTAGAATATCATGAAAARGTAGATTTATTTCAGTAATTCCATTTAAAAAGTGAAACTTGTATATTATATTCATACATTACATACAAAC